AAAAACCAATGGAGAGAAAGAATAAAAAGAAACATGGAAAGCAAGAAAAGGGAAGAGGGAAGGCATGAAGGAAAGAAAGCTGAAAGGAAGAGAGGGGAGAAAATCAAGATAGAGGGACAAAAGGAGGAATGCCATCTGGGAAGGGAGGGAGGCCCATATAGGATCAAATGGAAAAAGATTGACTCCTCAAGTTGACATTCAACATCAGAGGCATTTGAAGACCTCAGCTAAAACCAGTCCCTTATAGCTATTAACTATTTCTAGAAGAATCTTGCTAAGGGCAAACTGTATTGGTTCCAAGGTGCTTCTAGCACTTCACAAGCATTAGTTCCATCAGCCTCCAAAGGGCCTGTGAGATAGGGGAGCCACAGGGTTGAGTTATCCAATCTTGCAGCCTCACTGGGGTAAGAACATACAGTTAACTAGAAACACACCCCTGGGAAAGTCCCCTGCACTGGAACAGCTTCTAGAAGTCATCCGGGGCCTCAAGGTAGGGCTGCATTCAAGGAATGTGTCTCCTTGTCTGCCTTGAAGGGAGGGCTGCTCAGACAGAAGGAAGCTTGTCAACTCCGTGGGTTGGAAATCCTGGCAGTTGCCAACAGACCCACGCTATGCACTCTTTTTGGGCCCCACAAAAATGTGCTACAGTTTTTAAAGCACCACAGAGGAAAATGATTTGGCACAGAGACCAGGAGAATAGAACTGGGGCGGGTAGAGATGGTATCAACAGTGTCTTTTACTTCATCACTGACAATTAAAGAGCAAGTCACCTCTGCCCAAACATCTTCCAAAGCCTCGCTGAAAACAGATCAGCACCTGGCCATGGCAGAGCAAACCCCAGGTGGGCTTTAAACCTCAGGTCATGGGCTCCCCCACTAAGAAAAAATTTAAGAGACACTTCGGGAACTTCTCCCTGTATGGGCACCATCATTAGGAGAAATCACAATCTAAAGTTCAAGTTCAATGCACCTATTTACAAAAAAAGGAAGTATCCTAAAACCTCAAAGCCAGACAGCACAGTGCTCATGGTTTTAACTATCTAATGGATTTATCAACCCCACAAAGGAGGAATCTTGAGCTCTCTGTGCCACTCCATAACAACCAGGGACAGGCCCTGTACTCCATGGGGGAAGGGGACATCAGTTTCCCCAACAGAGTACCCCAAGGCTCCATGAGGACTTATGCCAGTGGGGCCTGGTTTTAACACATCAGAAACAAGATGGCAGAGTTCAAGTGGGCCTTTTGTTTGGTCTGGAAGAAGGAGCTGTGCCACCCAGCCCCCTTCCCTCCTCCTTTCCATGTCCTATCCTCCTACCAGGTTGACCTACACATAGGTTGCCCGGTCAGGAGCACAGAGGTGGCTGTTGAAGGAAGGTTGTGCCAAGGTCTGTCCAATTGATTATTTGGAGGGGTTCAAATGGTCCAGGTGCTATCGTTTTCATCTATGGTTCATTATTTGTTATCCTTTGTGTTTTGTTACCAGATCAACCCTTATTTCTGTCCTCATACTATAAGTGAGAACAGTAAGCAGGGAACTGTTGAGAAAGGGAGGACTGCAGGGCTGGCTTGACCCCCTCATCTCTGTAGCTTAGGTGTACACACACACAG